ATTTAGGACTTGCAAACTCAAGTGTCCATTGAGTTGACCTGGGAGGTAACAGAAGTGATGCATTGGTGCAGGACGTTAGGAGTGGCACCTAGCCGCCCAGCTCCCCACAGTCATCATCTGGTGGGAAGGAGTGCCTAGTGAGGCCAGATCTTATGATTCTTCAAGGAAAAGCTCAGTATATAAATTTATTTATAAAAATGTCCTTTTTGTAGTGTTAGTCATTAAGGACATTTTTAGCATTCTGTAGACTCCATAAAACACGTTTGGAGGGCAGCCTCATGGTTCGTGCCATCTGATCTATTAATAGTTTATCTTAGGGATAGGCTGGTGCCTGGGAGGCAGACAACATTGTGGTAAGAGTTCAGATTCAGCATCACCGGGCCTGGGTTTCCTGGCCGTAAACAGGAATGATGATCAGAGATCTTGTCTCCCAAGGCTGTGGTTCTTAAAGTATGGTCTGGGGACCAGCAGCATCCACAACACTGGAGAACTTGTTAAAAAAAAAAAAAAAGTAAACCCTGGGCCAGGCGTGGTGGCTCACACCTGTAATCCCAGCACTTTGGGAGGCCGAGGTGGGCAGATCACTTGAGGTCAGGAGTTCAAGACCAGCCTGGCCAACATGGTGAAACCCCGTCTCTACTAAAAAAAATAGAAAAATTAGCCGGGCATGGTGGCACATTCTTTTAATCCCAACTACTTGGGAGGCTGAGGCAGGAGATTGCTTGAACCTGGGAGGTGGAAGTTGCAGTGAGCCGAGATTGCACCACTGTACTCCAGCCTGGGCTACAGAGTGAGACTCCATCTCAAAAAAAAAAAAAAAAGTAAACTCTGGTCAGGCGCAGTGGCTCAGGCCTTGTAATCCCAGCACTTTGGGAGGCCAAGGTGGGAGGATCAAGGCTACAGTGAGTTATAGAGAGGTTGAGGCTGCAGTAAGCTGTGATTGTACCACTGCACTCCAGCCTGGGCGACAGAGCAAGACCCTGTCTCAAAAACAAATGAACCTGTAGACCTGCCTAAACTCTGGGGATGGGACAAGCAATCCCTTTTTTTTTTTTTTTTGAGATGGAGTCTTGATCTGTCACCCAGGCTAGAGTATAGTGGCGCAATCTCAGCTCACTACAACCTCTGCCTCCCGGGTTCAGGTGATTCTCCTGTCTCAGCCTCCTGAGTAGCTGGGATTACAGGCATGCACCACCACGCCCAACTAATTTTTTTGTATTTTTAGTAGAGACGGGGTTTCACCATGTTGGCCAGGCTGGTCTCGAACTCCTGACCTGATGATCCGCCTGCCTCAGCCTCCCAAAGTGCTGGGATTACAGGCGTGAGCCACCGCGCCCAGCTGGGACCAGCAATCCCTTTTAACCAGCCCTTCCAGGTGACTTTGAAGCCTCTCTAGTTTGAGAGCCATTGGCATAAAATAAATGTAGACTATATTCTTTGGATGCCAAGATGAGGGGTGTGAACACTTGGATCCTGCAGATTGGGGAGCAGGGAGCCTGTGAGCTCAGACCTGAAAACCAGGGACAGAGGGACATGGGGCAGGCAGAGTGTCTCAGGCAGGGCCACTTGTGGAATGTGGCCCAGGTGTTCAGGGGTAAGGGAGAGGAGTTAGCAGCTGAGACCTTACAGGAACTGGGATGTTCTACCAAGGAGGCTAGACCTCTTTGGGGCACCCTCAGAGAGTTTTAGAGAAGGGATGCTGTCCCATTTGTATTTGAGATCAGCTTTCTGGATGCCAGAAAGAAGAGCAGAGAAGTGGAACAGGTGAGGAGGCTGGGCCAGGAGTTCAGGCACCAGTTGTGTTGACCCTGAGTGGTGACCAGGGAGAAAAGAGAGGCTCCTGATGGGGACTTACTGACCATGGAGGGGAGGGAAGTGGGAGAAGGGCCTGGATGGTAGGCCCATCAGGGATGTCATGTGTCTGATGAATGAATGAACGAAAATAAATTGAACACCTACTGTGTCTCAGTTGCTGGGACTACAGCAATGAACAGCAGACAAAAATTCCTGCCTTGGTAGTACTGACAGTCTTGTGGCAGGAGAGAAAGATTAATAAGAAAAATGTATATATGGCCGGGCGCAGTGGCTCATGTGTGTAATCCCAGAACTTTGGGAGGCTGAGGTGGGTGGATCACAAGGTCAGGAGTTCGAGACTAGCCTGGCCAATGTGGTGAAACCCTGTCTGTACTAAAAATACAAAAATTAGCCAGGCATGGTGGTGTGCGCCTGTAATCCCAGCTACTCGGGAGGCTGAGGCACGAGAATTGCTTGAACCCGGGAGGCGGAGGTTGCAGTGACCCAAGATCACACCACGGCACACCAGAGCAAGACTCTGTCTCGGGGGGTAAAAAAGAAAAGGAAAACGTATATATGTCAGAAAAATGCATATAATATGTCAAATGGTGAGAAAAGAGGAAAAATTGATGCAAGGAAGTGGTGGGAGTGTGGGGAATTACATTAGTTTTTGCATTGCTCTAAAGAAATACCTGAGGCTGGGTAATTTATAAAGAAAAGAGGTTGAATTGGCTCAGGGTTCTGCTGTACAGGAAGTGTGGTGCCTGCATCTGCTCAACTTCTGGGGAGGCCTCAGGTAGCTTTTACTCTTGATGGAATGTGAAGGAGTCTGCATGTCACATGGCAAGACAGCTAGCAAGAGAGAGGAGAGGAGGTCCCCAGACTCATTTATTTATTTATTTATTTATTTATTTATTTATTTATTTAGAGATGGAGTCTCGCTCTGTTGCCCAGGCTGGGGTGCAGTGGCACAATCTTGGCTCACTGCAACCTCCACCTCCTGGGTTCAAGTGATTCTCCTGCCTCAGCCTCCTGAGTAGCTGGGATTACAGGCACCTGCCACCATTCCTGGCTAATTTTTGTATTTTTAGTAGAGACGGGGTTTCACCATGTTGGCCAGGCTGGCCTTGAAGTCCTGACCTTGTGATCCGCCCGCTTCGGCCTCCCAAAGTGCTGGGATTACAGGCGTGAGCCACCACGCCTGGCAGAATATTGTAGTCTCAAATACAATAATCATGGAAGGCCTCCGATGAGGTGATGTGAGGAGTGGACAGATGAGGTCAGGTCATGAGGGTGTTTTTGAGAAGAGCAAGCCGCAGAGTGCAACAGGTCACTCACTCACGTGGGAAACAGGTGGAGGAGAGATGGTCTGGATACTTGGGCGCAGGGATGGGAGTGGCCAGGAGTGCTGACCTCTCATCTGGCTGCCCAGGGCAAACAGAGAGCCGTGGTCGGCTGCAGGGGGTGGCAGAACTGCGCCTGGCAGGTCTGGAGCTGACAGATGCCTCCCTGCGGCTCCTGCTGCGCCACGCACCCCAGCTGAGCGCCCTGGACCTGAGCCACTGCGCCCACGTCGGGGACCCCAGTGTTCATCTCCTCACGGCCCCCACGTCCCCACTCCGGGAGACCCTGGTGCACCTCAATCTTGCTGGTAAGCACAGTCCCCCATCCGTCCTGCCAGCCTGTGGGTCCCCACGGCCAGTGCCAACCCCTTGCTCACCTGCCTGGTCTCAGCTGCCACTGCCCCATCCCCAGGTTGCCACCGCCTAACGGACCACTGCCTCCCGCTGTTCCGCCGCTGCCCTCGTCTACGCCGCCTAGACCTGCGCTCTTGCCGCCAGCTCTCACCCGAAGCTTGTGCCCGGCTGGCAGCCGCCGGGCCCCCTGGCCCCTTCCGCTGCCCTGAGGAGAAGCTGCTTCTCAAGGACAGCTAGTTGGGCGCCCCCCACCCTCCCCCGGACTCGACAGGAGCCTGGACCTCCGGCTTCATTTCACCCCTGCTGGGAGGCCAGGTTCCCACCTCACCACCCCGGGATTCCTGAGTGTCAGTGACTTGGGATTCCCACCCAGGGACTCAAGCCAGCCATCCCCTTCTTTCCCCCCTGCACTGATATCTCTGGGGGTTTCTCCTTCCCATGTCCTCCCCCTGCTACCTGCTTCATTGTCCATCCCCTGGGGGGAGTGGGTCAGAGGTACTGGAGGGTGCTGAGCCGAAGGGACGGTGGGAGGGGGGTTATGGTTCAAGTGTTGGGGGGGGAGAATGGGGAAAGGACACACAGAGGATATGGGAGCCAGGGGCTGGGGGAGGTGGAAGGGGCGGGGGGCGGGGCAGACAGCAGACCACCAAGGGTTCAGGGAACAAAGACCAGTTACTTCGATTGGGGGGTGGGGGGGGCCACAAAAGGAAAACCGGAGGAGCAATTGGGTATCCATGTGTCAGAGGTAGGGGAGCCAGGGGCAAGCCGGGGCTGAGCTGGAGGTGGGGATGAGAGCAGGTGTGGGGACAGCAATACCCCCTTGGGGGTCACCTCTCTGCTTCCCCCCTCCCCAGGCTTCAGTTCCTTCCCCCGACCCTGACTCCTTGAACGTCACTGAAAACGGCAGCTATTGTAAGGAGTGGGGGCCGCGGGCAGCCGCTCTTCAGCTCGCGGCCCAGGGGAGTGGCGAGGGGCGCCCCAACCCCTGCCCGCCTCTCCGCACAATACTTGAACATTCATCTGTACTGAAGTGTTACTTGAACCGGGGGAACCTCGGACCTGGGGGAGCCGGAGTGTGAGGGGGACTGGACCAGCTTGGACTGAGACCTGAGACCGGGCCGGTGGGTGCCCATTTGGGACTGCGCCACCCCCAGGCTCGTTCTTGTTTTACTGTATTGAGCGGCGGCACCCGCCGGACCTGCGTTATGGCTGGGGGCGCAAGCCCAAGGATGGGAACTATGGGACTCCTCCAGCCTGGCTCTTCCCACTCTTTCATCGTCACGGAAACTTGTATCCCATTTGCCCAGGGAACTGCCACTCCTGGTTGCCATGGAAATAGCAGCCAACGGACACCTCCCGATGCCAGTGCTAAGGCTGGAAATGGCCCCTCTTAGTTGCCATGGGAACCTAGTAACAGACTCTGGTGGCCCTCCTTCCCGCCCTTTCTTCCAGCAAGGGGTGGGGCTTCGGAGCCCGGGGGAGGAGCCGGGTCAGGTCCCGCCCCTTCACGCAGGCCTCCGGGGGGCCGGGGCTTACCATGTAGGGGAGGGGAGATGTATCCACATACCTCAGGTAACAGGGAGGTGCGCGGGTGGGGGGAGGGCTGGGCGGACCAAAGGCCGGAGGGGAGGGGCCTGGGGATCGCGAGAGGCTTGAGGATGGGGCCGCTTGAGGGAGGGAGGAGGCAGCCCGGCAAGGGGCAAGCGGGGGACCCAGCCGGGCTGGGCCCCTGGGCCCCGGGTCTGTACAATACGGTTTGCTATAAAATTCAAAATCTTCCAGCCGGGGCTGCGGAGTTCGTGTGTGTGTGTGTGCAGGGTCCCTACCTACAGATGAGTGGCCTCACCTCTCTTGGGTTCATTTTGGGAGGGATTTGAAAGTGTGGACACCTGGGGTATCCAGCTGTACCTTGGAGGTGGCTGTGGCTGGCGTGCACCTCGGTGGGGTCCGGGCGTTTGGATGATGTTCTTGGTGGGTAGGGGTCGCGGGGAATCTCTGTGGGCCCGGGACCACGGGGACTCGGTCCCCGGCTCCACCCCATCATGTGGCCAGCCCGGCTCCGCCTCTGCCCCAGTTCCTGTTTCGGCCTCCGCTGTCCCGCTCCGGCCCCTGGGGCTCCCCGCAGACGCCTCTCTTCCTGCTCCGCTGGGGCCGCCTCTTCCTGGGCGCCCGCCGCCTGCATCCTGCTTGCCCTATCGGGGGATGGGGCCGCCCCTGGGCTTGGGCCGGCCCGGCTGGGGCCCCCGAGGCGCCTCCGCCCCGTAGTGACCGCCTGGTGCCGCCGCCCCCAGGATGAAGGGCGGCGAGGAGGACGCGTGCGAGCAGGCCCCTCTGAACCCGGAGGGCGAGAGCCCTGCAGGCTCGGCCACGTACCGGGAGTTCGTGCACCGCGGCTACCTGGACCTCATGGGGGCCAGTCAGCACTCGCTGCGGGCGCTCAGCTGGCGCCGCCTCTACCTCAGCCGGGCCAAGCTCAAAGCTTCCAGCCGCACGTCCGCCCTGCTCTCGGGCTTCGCCATGGTGAGGGGCCGGGAGGGGGCACAAACGGTGGGGCAGAGCACGTGGGGGGCACAGGTTGGGGGGGGCAAACAGGTCCCAAGGGACACAGGGCAGAGGGGGCTTTCGTCAAGGGGGAAGGAACAAGGTCCCAAGGGACTGAGCAAGTCCCTTCTTACGGATGTGTGTGTACAGGGGCCCCCAGGAGATGGGGCCACGGGAGGACACTAAGGTCCTAAAGGTGTCATAGAGGGAGTGGGGTGAACAAATCACCAGTGGGGTTGACTGCAACGATAAGGCAGAGTGGTTCAGACGGAGCCTGTTCCTGGCAGAAGTGGTTCCTAAGTCCCAGTGCCAGCTTCAAAGGCAGGTCAGCTGGGTGGGGGCTGCATCAACAGGCGGGGGTGCTCGAGATGGATCAGCTGGGTGGCAGGGTCACCCAGCTGAAGTTGGGCCCATCCCAGGGAAAGTGGCCACTCTCCAGGGGGCCCAAGGGGTGCCAGTGTCAACCAGGAAAACTGACAAGAGATCATGCCCCGGAGGGAGACGCTGGGGAGAAGGCCCATGAGGAAACTGATAAGCGATTCTCAAGCTGATAAACCACAGGTGCAGGAGGACGGTGTCGGCTAACGGTCTGTCCCAGCGGTGGCCTCACAGGAAGTGGGACGGAGGGAGGTCCCAGGGTGAGGATCAACAGACACAGTCCTGACTCCTCGCTGCTTGTGGCCAGCTATGTGACTCTGGACAGGCCTCCACCCCCCTTGCAAACCAGTGGGAAACTGTGAGATCATGGAGGGTGCGCCCTCTGTAGCCCGCCAAGTACCCGCCCCAGGGTAAGCCAAGCATGCCAGAGCAGGCCACTCACCAAGGATGGCTCAGACTAGCCTGCTAGTCCAATTAGACAGGTGTGGAAAGCAAAGGTCTCGCCTCTGGGCAGGAGTGAATGAACTGGGACCCAGGGTTGCTGCTCTGTTAGTCTGGGGTTTCCCCACCATCACCCCAGGAAAAAGAAGAAAGTGAGCTGCAGGAGGTACTTTGGGGAACGCACTCCTGTGGGGATGGATATCAGAGGCAGTTGGGGTGGGGACCATGGAGTTAGGGGATCTGGGCTAGTCCCTGCCCCATCTGTGTCATAACCTCCATATTTGAACAATGACAGGGAAACTCTAACCCTAAGGGTCATCATAAGCCTGTGGTCTTCTACGTGGGTTCCCAGAATCCACAGACCAGCTTACCTTTCCTGATGGGGGGCATCACCTGGGGACAGGGCGTTGGTGCCCCTTCATCTACACAGCCTGCAGAGGGAAGGCAGCAGCCACCTGAGCTGAGCGAGGTCAACCCCGTGGTCCAGCCTGTTCCCAAGGAGACAATCCCTCCACAGCAGAACGTGCAGGTTGCTGGGGTGACAGCTTAATGGCCTGAGCCTTCTCTGCAGGAGTAAGGGGCTGGAGGTTTAGGTTCTGGGGGCAGGACTGGCCGCAATCCTAGCAGGGGAGACCGAGGCTGGACCAGGCTCTGGGAGAAACCAGGACTAAGCCTGGCCCAGATCCCTGTCTGTGGAAAACACCTCCTGACACCTGCCATGGCCCAGTTTCCCAAAATACTCAGCCCTGCTTTCCTGCCCCTACCCGCCAGCCTCTACACCTACCTTCTTCTTTCCCCAGGCCCAGAGCAATCGAATGGACCCTACAAGAACCACGGATGGGGAGAGAGTGGGATTCTGAACTCAGGTGGCCTAAGTTAGAATAGCATTATACAAATTGTATCCAGCTGTCACTAAGCACCAGGCACTGCCCTCAGTGCCTTTATGTATATCATCTGTTAGCCTACAAAGTGGGTACTGCTACTCTGGCCATTTTACAGATGAGGAAACTGAGGATCGGAGATGTTAAGACACCTGGCCAAGGTCCCACAGCAAGTAAGTGGCAGGATTTGAGCCTAAGCAGTCTGGTTCCAGACTCCAAATTTATACATTCCTAGAATAGGGTCATCAACTTAAATGTCTGCAAAGGGCCAGGCAAGTAATATGGATGCCAAGTTGGCTGGGTAGGGACTAGCAAGCAAGAGACCCCCTGACATCGAGGGTGATGGCTCACACCTTTCATCCCAGCACTTTGGGAGGCCAAGGCAGGAGGATCACTTGAACCCAAGAGTTCAAGTCCAGCCAGCCTGGGCAACATAGCAAGACCTGGCATCTACAAAAAAAAAAAAAAGAGAGAGAGAGACCCCATTACCTTTCCAAGGGGAGCAGCCATGACTGATTTGAGCTGATAGTTGCCATGCAGGAACGCGGGCCAAGTGTGGCCAGTTCTTCCAAGTTTTCAAGGGGATCTGGAAATAGGGATATAAGAACTCTCTTGGGTTTTACAAGTTGGCAACAACTTCCATTTTTTAAGAAACACACTGTGTGAGCCAAGCAAAACACGTCTGCAAGCTGGAAGTGGTCCACAGTGTGCTGATTTGTACTCTGTCCTCAGACTTTAGCACTCGCCATAGCAAGAACAGCAAACACGTACATAGTGCTTACTCTGTGCCTGGCCTGTTCCTTTCCTCTTCCTTTCCTTCTTCCTTTCCTTCCTTTCTTCCTTCTTTTTTTCTTTTTTTTTTGAGACAGAGTCCCACTTTGTCACCCAGGCTGGAGTGCAGTGGTGTGATCTCAGCTCACTGCAACCTCTGCTTCCTGGGTTCAAGCAATTCTCCTGCCTCAGCCTCCAAAGTTCCTGAGTAGCTGGGATTACAGGTGCACACCACAACGCCCAGCTAATTTTTGTATTTTTAGTAGAGACAGGGTTTCACCATGTTGGCCAGGCTGGTCTTGAACCCCTGACCTCAGGTGATCCACCCGACTCGGCCTCCCAAAGTGTTGGGATGAAAGGCGTGAGCCACCACGCCCAGCCCATTTCATGTATATTTCATTTAATGTTTATACCAACCCTACAAGGCAGGGAGGTGCTGTTATCAATCTCCATTTCCAGATAGGAAATTGAGGCACACAGAGAACTGACGTGCTCAAGATTACACAGCTCGAGCACAGAATGAGCCCAGGCAGCCCAGCTCCAGAATCTGCTGTTTGATCCCTATGCAGTAAACCTGTCAGAAGCGCCGGGCGCGGTGGCTCACGCCTGTAATCCCAGCACTTTGGGAGGCCGAGGCGGGCGGATCACAAGGTCAGGAGATCGAGACCACGGTGAAACCCCGTCTCTACTAAAAATACAAAAAATTAGCCGGGCGCGGTTGTGGGCGCCTGTAGTCCCAGCTACTCGGGAGGCTGAGGCAGGAGAATGGCGTGAACCCGGGAGGCGGAGCTTGCAGTGAGCCGAGATCGCGCCACTGCACTCCAGCCTGGGCGACAGAGCGAGACTCCGTCTCAAAAAAAAAAAAAAAAAAAAAAAAACAACCTGTCAGAAGCAAGTCATCCAGCCCTCTTTTTTTTTTTTTTTTTTTTTGAGACAGAGTCTTGCTCTGTCGCCCAGGCTGGAGTGCAGTGGCATGATCTTGGCTCACTCGAACTTCTGCCTCCTGGGTTCAAGCAGTTCTCCTGCTTCAGCCTCCCAAGTAGCTGGGATTACAGGCATGTACCATGATGCCCAGCTAATTTTTGTACTTTTAGTAGAGACGGGGTTTTGCCATGTTGGCCAGGCTGGTCTCAAACTCCTGACCTCAGGTGATCCACACACTTTGGCCTCCCAAAGTGCTGGGATTCTAGGCATGAGCCACCACGCCCGGCCATCCAGCCCTCTTGATAGGCAGGTGGAGAAACCAGAACAGAACAGCCTTTGCAAAGCTGTCCATTCGTTTACTCAATGGAGACTGAACGTCTCTGCTTTCTGCCGGGCACAGTTCCAGGTCCTAGGGATATGTATCAGTGATGTATCCCAATAGGCGGAAAAAATCTCTACAGTTGAGGAGGTTATGGGGAGTCAGTCCATCCCCTCTTGTCCCTGCAGGTGGCCATGGTGGAGGTGCAGCTGGAGAGCGACCACGAGTACCCGCCAGGCCTGCTGGTGGCCTTCAGTGCCTGCACCACCGTGCTGGTGGCTGTGCACCTCTTTGCACTCATGGTCTCCACGTGTCTGCTGCCCCACATTGAAGCTGTGAGCAACATCCACAACCTCAACTCTGTCCACCAGTCACCACACCAGAGACTGCACCGCTACGTGGAGCTGGCCTGGGGCTTCTCCACTGCCCTGGGCACCTTTCTCTTCCTTGCTGAAGTTGTCCTGGTTGGTTGGGTCAAGTTTGTGCCCATTGGGGCTCCCTTGGACACACAGACCCCCATGGTGCCCACATCCCGGGTGCCCGGGACTCTGGCACCAGTGGCTACCTCCCCTAGTCCAGCTTCCAATCTCCCACCATCCTCTGCATCCACAGCACCATCCCAGGCTGAGCCAGCCTGCCCACCCCGGCAAACCTGTGGTGCTGGGGGGTCCCATGGGCCAGGCTGGCAAGCAGCAATGGCCTCCACAGCCATCATGGTACCCGTGGGGCTTGTGTTTGTGGCCTTTGCCCTGCATTTCTACCGCTCCTTGGTGGCACACAAGACTGACCGCTATAAGCAGGAACTAGAGGAACTGAATCGCCTGCAGGGGGAGCTGCAGGCTGTGTGAGGCTGGTGTTAGCCACTGCTGCAAGCACTGCCTCCCTCCCGAGTCTGCAAGAGGCCTCAGGGGCCTATAGACCTCATTCCCCCCATCCCCTGGCTGGAGCCACTTGCAGTGGCCACTCTCAGGCAGAGGTCAGATTCCTGCCTGCAGGGTCCTCTGGGCTGGGCCTTGGGGCAGCTCCCACATTCCCAGGGATTTTCCCCATCAGTCTGTCCCTTGGGTTTTGCAAGCTACTCTGCACCTGGGCTGGCCTCAGTTGAAAGATCATGCCGTAGATATAGGGGAGGCAGGGAGAGCTTGTGGGACCTTTGGTGCTGACCTTAGCCACCATTTCCATTCCTATACAGGATGGGAAGATCACAAGGCAGCCAACCCTTGGTTTAATTTTTTTTTTTTTTTTTGAGACAGAGTCTCTCTCTGTTGCCCAGGCTGGAGTGTGGTGATATAGTCACAGCTCACTGTAGCCTCGACCTTCCAGGCTCAAAAGATTCTCCCACCACAGCCTCCCAGGTAGTAAGTAGCTGGTACTACAGGTGTGCACTGCCACAGCCGACTAATTTTTTTGTATTTTTTGTAGAGACGGGGTTTCGCCATGTTCCCAGGCTGGTCTCAAACTCCTGGGCTCAAGTGAACCTCCTGCCTCGGCCTCCCAAAGTGCTGGGATTCCTTGCTTTATTTCTGTAGAATCTATTTTATGGTTGGCATTTTGGGGGAAGATTTTGATGGGTTCCACATTCTTGCTTTAGTTGTTGTAGAGGGATTTGGGTGTTTCTACCCCAGGCATTGGTCTAGCTTTTCCTACAATGAACCTATCTTTGGAGGTTGGAGCTCCCCACCTTCCCCCACTGTGGTGACCTATGGCCACTCGCAGGAGGGATGGTGCCTGACCCACTGCCCTAGCACCACGCTATGCACCAAACTTGTTCTCCCCTCCGGGCCAGGGCTGGGATCTTTAGAGACTGACAGCCTCTGCCCCGGGCCTGAGTCCTTAGCAAGGGTTAGGTGAGGAGGTTTTAAGGGAGAAGGTCCAGTCCTTAGCCCTTGGAATACAAAGCTTTTCTGACACTGAATTTGGATGCACCTTGTTTTATATAATAAATCATGTTTCACAGATGTCTCTGTTGCTGTGAACGGGATGCAGGGCAGGCCTTCTTAGGATAACTTTACTTGTTCCCAAGAGCTGGGTGGTGGCAAGTTTGGGTGGACAGGACCTGGGAGGGGAGTGGGTTTCAGGTGTAACCCTGTCAGATGCTAACAAGAGCCAACAGCTTCTGAATGGGGAGAGTTATTCCAAGGCTATAGGCTTTGAACTCTTGTCCCTGAGTTCAGAGTCTCTATCTCTTCCACTGAGTTTCTTTTATTTATTTATTTATTTATTTATTTATTTATTTAGAGATGGAGTCTTGTGTTGCCCAGGCTGGAGTGCAGTGGTGCGATCTCGGCTCACTGTAACCTCTGTCTCCCGGGTTCAAGCAATTCTTCTGCCTCAGCCGAGAAACCTGAGTAGCCGGGATTACAGGTGTGTGCCATCACACATGGCTAATTTTTGTATTTTTAGTAGAGACGGGGTTTTGCCATGTTGGCCAATCTGGTCTCAAACTCCTGACCTCAGGTGATCCACCTGCCTTGGCCTCCCGAAGTGCTGGGATTACAGGTGAGAGCCACCACGCCCAGCCCTCCCTGAGTATTTAGTATAGGTTTTTCTTTCTTTTTGAGACAGAGTCTTACTCTTTTTTTTTTTTTTTTTGAGACAGAGTCTCACTCTGTCTCGCACTGTCGCCCAGGCTGGAGTGCAGTGGCATGATCTCAGCTCACTGCAAGCACCGCCTCCCGGGTTCATGCCATTCTCCTGCCTCAGCCTCCTGAGTAGCTGGGACTACAGGTGCCCGCCACCATGCCCAGCTAATTTTTTTGTATTTTTAGTAGAGACGGTGTTTCACCGTGTTAGCCAGGATGGTCTCAATCTCCTGACCTAGTGATCCGCCTGCCTTAGCCTCCTAAAGTACTGGGATTACAGGCATGAGCCATCGCACTGGGCCGGAGTGCAGCTGTGCAATCTCGGCTCCCTTCAGCCTTGACCTCCCAGGCTCATGAGCCTACCGCCTCAGCCTCCCAAATAGCTGGTACCACAGGCATGTGCCACCAACCCAGCTAATTAATTAATTTTTTTTTTTTTTTTTTTAGAGAGGAGGGTCTCATTATGTTGTCTAGGCTGGTCTTGAACTCTTGGGCTCAAGTCATCCTCCCACCTTGGCCTCCCAAAGTGCTGAGATTACAAGTGTTAGCCACTGCACCTGGCCTCAAGTTTCTTTCTTGAGCAACTACTACATACTAGGGGCCTTTCATAGGTTATCTTATTTAACTCCCCCAACACCTCAAGCGTTAAGCCTTTATCATTTTCATTTCAGAGATAAGGAAACAGGCCCAAGAAGGCTGAAGATCTTGCCCAAAACCACAGTTAGTCCATGAAACTGAACTTGGACTATCTTTACCCCTTACATGGGAATCTCTCTTTGATTTGAGAAAAGGAACCAGTGCCTTTCAACTAGAACAGAAAGGAATCTGATCTCAACACCTATGCCTCCACGTAAATTAATTTTTTCAGGCTTATTTCCCTCAAAATGTTAGTCCTAATCTTCTTCTATCTTGTGGTGTGAGACCTTGGATAAGTCTCCCTTCCACCTTTTCCTATTACTTAAATGGTGAATTTGCATAAACCAGGCTCTAAGGGTCTTTTCTGCACTGTTTGGCTGTCTACAAATGGACATCCAAGTTTAAAGGAAAACTCCGAAACTTAGAAAGGTCAATGGCTTGCCCAAGGTCATATAGCGAGGGCCTGATGTACACATGTCAGGAGCCTGGGGCATCCTCAGCTCAGGAAAAGGGGCCTCCTGGGAGTGCCGGCGTCCACACGGGATCAAAAGGGTGCTCTCAGCCTACAGAAGACCTCAGCCCGAGTTTCAGGTGTAGGCCTGGGCCGCTGCTGCCCTCGTGCGGAGGGATCCCGTGAGCATACGGCGCCATAGCCAGAGAAGCGGGCACTGGGACCATGACGCCAAGAGGACACCAGTCCAGTCCCGTTCCTGTAGGACCTCGTTTATTATTACAGGGCCCATTTAAGGGCACTTAGGCCCCACTAGGCTCATCAGAAAACCTTGAAGCAGTCCCTGGATTTAACCACTAATGGTGGGTTTGAGTACGGCAAAGCACCTTCTACAGGCCTCTCGCTCCCCATCTGGCAAATGGGCATCCTAAGCAGCCAGACACCCAAGGACGATAACGGGAAGGAAAAGCACCCTGCATTTATGTGCGAGGCGGGGCAAACCGCCTGAGTCACCGCTCACGGTTGTGTTTTTCCACCTCCCGGCCGCCCCTCCCATCCGGATGAGTCCTGGTGGGTCCTCTTGGAGGCGCCCCCTAGTCCCTTGCTCCGCACGCCCTGACCACGCCCCTTGACTCGGCCCCGCCCACAGCGGAATCCGCAGATTCGCCAGGCCGGATCCTCAGAATTCCTCGGGTCCTTCGATACTCGGCTGAAAATTATCATCGGACTCTGACAGGAGCTCTGGGCTGGAGGCATTTTCCCCAGGGTCAGAAGCGGCCTATCCTCTCACTGGGGCCAGTAAGAAAAATCCAGAAAAAGTTGTCGATTCTGCCAGCAGGGATTGGCTAACGGGCCGTTATTTTCTTGACTCCACCAAGGCGGATGAAGGGGAGGCTGCGGCTGAGGCCGGGAACAGTGGCGAATCTGCAGCCTCTCAGACTTTGGCCGTGCAAGGAAGGGACGGGGAAGAGGAGCAAAGCGGCGCGCATCCTGTCCAGCGATTCGCCCCGCCCGCCCGGCGAATCTGCGTCTCCCGAACGCGCCACTGAAGCTTCCCCAGCGCTGGCTGGCCTCCTCCCCTCTGCCCCGCCCCTTTTCCTCAGGGACTAGTCGCAGCTTTCGTCGCCGCCGATTCGTCAAGCGTCCCGGGCCGCAGCATCTGGATCGTCGTGGCGAAGCCGACTCTCCGGGGGATGCGGCCAATCTCCAGGCTCCCTGGGCCGCAACTCCCGAGCCTCCCCGGGCGCCGGCCGAGACGAAGCCGCTATCCCCGGCCCCGTGGGTCCCCGGGCAGCGCCTGTGGCGAAAGTGCGAATGCACACCCTGTGCCCGCTGGGCCTCGCGCAGGTGGCGGTGGTGTTTGGTGCGCGCGCCGGGGAGGTGGTGGTGGGGGGGCGCCGCCGCCGCCACCGCTGCGGGGCCGGGTCTCGCGCTGCCGCCGCCGCCGCCTCGCGCCGCTGAGGTGCCGCGCGGGGTGGGGGGAGGGGAGCCGCTCGCCAGGAGCGGGTGAGTGGGGCCGCCCGGCGCGCGTGCGCGGAGACCTGCTTGGGGGTGCAGAACGCGCCGGGGCGGGAGGAGAGGGCAGCGGCGCGCGTTCCCCCCACCCCCCGCCCAGATTTGGGGTCGAAGCCGGGTCTCGGTCTCGGTCTCGCGGTGTTTCCAACGCCCCGAAGAGGTGCCACCTTTCGGCCGGAGGATCGGGGCGCGGGGACGCGAGCGGGTGTGTGGGAGCCGTGGCCGGGCTCGGCCCGGGCCGCTGGCCGGTGAGGAGGCGGGAGGGGGCGGGGCCTGCAGGAGGCGGGGGAGGGGTCTTGCGCCGAGGCCAAGTGGGGCGCGCGCTAGGGAGAGCGGGAAGGTAAGGGGGCTCGAGACGGGCCTGGGGGCCTGACAGTAGAGATGGGAGGTGGAGAGAGGCTGGGTTGTTGTGGTGAGACAGAGGGTACTTGGGGGAGAATCCGGGGGAGCCCCGGGTCAGGGTGAGGGGTGGAAACTGGAGTGATGGGAGAATCTGGAATCGGGGCTGGCCAGTGAGGAAAGGCAGGGGAATCAGGCCCAAGTCGTGACCCTTCTTGTGTGTCCCCCTTTCCCTAACAGTGTAAATGAGCAAAGATGGATCAGGAAGGTGGGGGAGATGGGCAGAAGGCCCCGAGCTTCCAGTGGCGGAACTACAAGCTCATCGTGGATCCTGCCTTGGACCCTGCCCTGCGCAGGCCTTCTCAGAAGGTGTACCGCTATGACGGAGTCCACTTCAGTGTCAACGTGAGTGCCCGGGCCTTTGCTTGCCATCCGGGGAGCTCCAGGTGCCCCTGTCCTCTGTGATTCTGTTCAGCACCTAGAATGGTAGCCTGCCTTCTTGAAAGTGGGCAGTTGAACCCATGTTTTGCATGTGCGTGTCCAGATGGGCTTCTTAGAGCTCCCCAGCCTGGATTCACCCTGAGCTGTCTTTCTGCTACTGCTTTCCTTCCTAGGACTCAAAGTATATACCAGTCGAAGACCTCCAAGACCCCCGTTGCCATGTCAGGTCCAAAAACAGAGACTTTTCCCTCCCAGTCCCTAAGTTTAAGGTACGTGTCTTCTGGGCTTCTAGTGTGGTAGTCCTAAGAGGGTATGGAGGATGCGTCTTGGCACTATAGCTGAATAAAAAGGGTTTTCAATGAAAGGGTCTCAGCCAGATCTAGCAACCTGAGACTGTGAGACTCAGTTGTTCTGGACAGGAGGTACACTTAGTCTTCTAGAAAGGTACAGGTCAGGTGTCCTAAGTGTATCTCTGGTGGCTGGGGTGTTGACTTCTTGAAGGATGAGGTAAAGACTGTTTAGCTGCTATTTCTATCACTGTGTATTCCTAGACAATGCATAGCACACAACAGTGGGATCTCCCAGTTCCTTAACAGTCAAGGGGAGTGACAAGGCCACTGCCTACCTGGATTGCACTGTTCCCCACCTCTCATTTGGCAATGTCATTTCCATCTTGTTTCCTTCGAGGACTCCCATTCCCCACCCTAGGCAAGATATTCTTCAGGCCTTGAACTGGGCCTGGAACACTGGTGGTTCTTCATTTCCTTCTCTGATTCTTTATTCTTCCTTTTTAAATAAATTGTCTGTGGGGTCCCTTCATTCTTCTTCTTCACCTTTTTTTTTTTTTTTTTTACTTTGTACACTTTACTTGGACCATCTCTTTCACACCTACAGCTTCAACTAGTACCTAAATTTTGATGACTTCCAAATATCTGTTTCCAGCCGACATCTCCAGGCTTGTATGCCTGGTAGGGGGAGAGTTTCATTTGGAGGC